ACACACATACACACACACACACACACACACACACACACACACACTGAAAAGTCAAAATAAAATATATGTCGGGGTGTGGAAAGGAGCTGGGCTGGGGAGGGATCTTATAAGACGGACAATTTATCTACTACTTTTCCTCCAACAACCTTGTCATGTTATGCAATGGCATGTAACAATCACACACAGAGACATACATACAGACAGACAGACACTCACACCCACACACTCACATACACTCACACACACACACACACACACACACACACACACACACACACACACACACACAAATGCACGCGCACGCACACACACACGCGCGCGCACGCACACACATACCTAGGACTACTTTAATAGTTAATAATATTACATATTGTCATCATAGTGAAATGAGGCACTCGATAAGATTATGAAATCGAAAAAATCGTCATGAGGCAAACCCTACTTCCGTCAATTGAAAATGTCTCTCCTTTTATTTAAGATTAATGTATTCTTATTATGATGAGATACCTTTTTCCTTCAAACGAGAGACAAAGGAGCAATCTTTAAGATGATAACAATTACTCGATATGCCCGAAAAAAAAACTGATGAGCGCCTGATTCCACATTCCTTTGTTTTAGCGGTTGGTTGGATGGAGGGCACCACTGATAGATCTACATCTTGGTCCTACTTCTTTACTTTCCTTCTGTTGGTTCTGTCTGTCTGTCTTACTTTTTTCAAAGCAATAAATTAAATGACCTTCATTGCGTCGATGTACATCTCATTACACAAACAACCTAACAAATACTTGTGAGTGGTTCGCGGGTGCTCTGGTGTGGTTTGCTTCTTCTTTCCTATCAAACGTCTATCGTCCTTATCTCCCCTTCTTCTTTTTTATGTTTGTTACTCTCTTGTAGCACCTCTAATCTTCTGGTGCTCATATAAAATCTCTACTAAAACTAAACTAACAAATTTTAATCCTTCGTTTTTCTTCCCTGCAGGAGATCGAGTTACATCATCTCTACCAAGATCTACTGGGGTGGAAAGTAAGTAAGCTGTTTAAAGGACTTTTGTTGAGGCTTGTACTCACTTGATGAAGAGGCGATTTGGAGAAGTAGTAGAATGTTGTTTGACGGTGTTCTCTTGATGTTGGTGTGTCCTTTACAATGATTACAGTGTCGTCTTAATGCTACTGTTGTGGTTGATGATGATGATGATGCTGAGGGTGATGATGATGATGATGATGAGTGGGAGGGTAAAGGGAGGGAACCTTATACTTTGATGGGATAGAGCCCAAAATAAATACTTTTTATATTATTATTGTTATTATTATTGCTATTATTATTATTTATTATTATTATTACTAGTTCCATTACCATTATTATTTCGTTTTCAATGTGGTATCTAAAACAATGATTTCTACACTCTTTGCAGGGCGGAGACGGAGAAAGGTCTTTCAAGAAAGCACATTATAGAAGGTAAGTTAAACTACTAAGTGAAAAATATTGAAAGGTCAAAATGAAATATCTGTCTGTCTGGGTGTGGAAAGGTGGTGGGCTGGGACACACACTCATACACTCCCACTCACACACACACAGACACACACACACTCACACACACAAACACACACACACACACAACACAGAGAGAGAGAGAGAGAGAGAGAGAGAGAGAGAGAGAGAGAGAGAGAGAGAGAGAGAGGAGAGAGAGAGAGAGAGAGAGACTAAGAGAGAGAGAGAGAGAAAGAGAGAGCAAAAAAAGGGAGAGAGAGAGAGAGAGATGGAGAAAGAGTGAGAGACTTTCCAGACATCGTTCTTCCGTCCTTTTCTACTCCTTCTCACCACCCATCTCACACTTCATCCCCCTGGAGCCTCTTTCACCTGCACACAATCATTCAGTGCAATCCATTGTTTCCCCTGGGGTCGTATTTGTCTGAAAACTTTCCCTCGTCCCTAGCTCACCTGTGCAGGAATCAATGTTTGAAATGTTCCCCATTGACAGACACATATTTATCAAACTGTAAGCATTTCTCCCGGGTGCTTGAAGGGTTCCGAGTACTTCTCAAGCTTTGGTTTATTGATAGAGGTCGTTGTGTCTTTCCATTTGTCTTCTCTCCTATTCTTTTCCCTTTGTATTTCTTTTCTGTCGTATTTCTTTTTTGTCATGTTATTTTCCCATCGTTGTTCTTTCCTTTTTTAGAATCTCCTCTTTCTTTCCTTTATTAGAATCTTCTCTTTCTTTCCTTTATTAGAATCTCCTCTTTCTTTCCTTTTTTAGAATCTCCTCTTTCTTTCCTTTTTTAGAATCTCCTCTTTCTTTCCTTTATTAGAATCTCCTCTTTCTTTCCTTTTTTAGAATCTCCTCTTTCTTTCCTTTTTTAGAATCTCCTCTTTCTTTCCTTTTCTCTTCCGCTTTTTCCCCCTTTTCTTTCCTTTTGTCGCCATTCATTTCCCCCCCCCCCCGTTTCCTTGCGTGTAATCTTTCATTCTAATGTTTGGAGTTTTTCTCTCATTGATTTATAGGCTTAAGACCAGTTAAAAATAACACTACTTTTTTGTTCTTCTCAGTGGGGCTACATGTTCGGAAGCCCCATTCACAGTTTAGTTTTTCTTATTGGAGACCGATTTGCTTGGGACAATAATATTAATTGTAGGCTACAACTCTTTGATCTGGGAAATGTTTAATAGCAAGTTAGATTAAACGGGGAAGAATATTAGGATAGCAATTATAACGTTAACCGTATAATGTTTTGTGTCTGACCATGATTAATGCAACCGCTAAGGACATTAACATTATACTTTATCTTTAAAAAAAATCAGAAAGAATAAGGGTTAAGGTAAATCGTGGAGACTGCTGTAGTCAGTGTGATCAATTCTTACAAAGAAAAACTTATCACATTTTGAGCATTTGCAAGTTTTTATTTTTTTTCTTCAAATTTTTGGTAAGTGTTTTACGGTGCTCGCAAGTGCATAGGGTCATACGAGCGCGCGGGACACATTAAACGTTTTCAGTTGATAGGAAATGTTGAACTTTGACGGGGTGGCGGCCGAAGCCTACTCTTATCGATTTTAGACCACCAAAGGATATTTCATGTGCACAACGGGACCCCGAGATTTTTCGCCCTTGTCCGAGAAGACTAGCTGTAGATCTTTCCTATTAAAATATCAGGAGTGTTACTGAAAGACAGCAGAAAGAAGGACCCAAGGAGCAGCAGTAGAAAGGCTGCAAAAAGAGTCAGAAGCCCAGGGGAGGAAGCAAATGGGTTGAAGGGGTGAGGTCAGAAAGTGGAGACGAAAGCAGACGACGGGCATTGCTAGAGAGCAGGAAAGACGGTGAAAGGAGACAATTTTGGAGAAGAAAAATTAATTGTTTCCGTCGCTACCCAGATTCGAACCCCGGACCTTTGAATGAGATGTGAACACCTTAACCTTTAGGCCACGAGAGCCCCCCGCCCCCAACCCCCATATGAAAGTTCGATCATTCGTGGATGCGCTCAACTTGTGGGGTTTTTCTGTGGGCTCAAGCAATTCCAAACGGACAGATAAGAGCAGCTGGTTTTTTTTGTTTTGTTTTTGTAAAGTGTTTTACGGCGCTCGCAACTGCATAGGTCATATGAGCGCGCGGGACACACCTAATATTTTCAGTTGGTAGGA